CTGGCAAAACCCCCAAAGCGTGGGAATACAGGCTAGTTCTCAGACTATACAGGAAAGACTACACAATGCTCTCCACACAAGACTGACTGGAACGGAAATGGCATAACCGCTAACAAGGGGAGTTTAGCAATATTTAACAAAACTAAAAATGCATCCTTTTGATAATTAAAATACATTAAGAAGTTGTTCCGACAATTTATATCAACACGCAAACATGTATTACTTGCACAAATCTCTGACAATCCAAAGTAATTACCAGACTTTGACACAAACTCATTTAGCAACAAAATTTGATTTGACTTGTGAAGCTATATGTAGTCTTTAAACAACACTGTGACTACTGTGATAGTTAGGTTTATGGTGCCAAGTAGGCCTCCGTAGAAACATGGGGGAAGAGTTTAATCAGCTTGATTGGAGGCTGACCAAGATAAATGCTGTCTGAGTCCAGCCTCCCATCTCTTTTTTCCCCTGGTGATTGGACCAGCATGTTGCTGTTTGAGCTAGTCCTTTGCTTCAACCATGTGCTACACTATCTGTGGGCTGATCATGTCGCCATGCCATGCATCATTAGAGCTTGAGGCTCCTTCGACACTTGCTTTGCCACACTGCTGGTGGATCATGTTGCACCGTTTGTACATAGCTAAAGCTTGAGACCCCTGTCTGCCTGTCTTGCCTGAAGGCAGACTTCAAGGTTTGCTTCCTTACCTTCGAACCACAGCCTACTGTGAGTTGAAGGACCTTCAGTATATTACTGAACCTGTTCCACAAAAGTGAGTTGAATTGAGCCCTCTGTACTGCTGTGTGGACTAATTAGCCATTATATTGCTTCTCGCAATATAAATCCATCCTTTTATACATAAATAATCAGAAGTGTCCTTGTTTTGTTTCTCTAGAGCACCCTGCCTAACACAAATACCCACATGTTTTCTTCAAGGAATACTGACTTGTTTACATAGTTCTGCCTTCCCTGGAGGTGGTCTGAAATATATGCGATCCTATAGAGAGTTTCTGAGGTTTGAAATCTTTAGGAGAGCAGATAGTATCAACTTTTTCCAACAGAGCAGCAGGTGGGTTTGAACCATGGGCCTCCTGTGCTCCTTTATTTTATAGCATGAAGACCTATGGAGTCGGATCCCTCTTCTCTAAATATAATTAGTGAGAAAAGATTGTAAAAAACAAGATTTGATAACAAGTAAGGTCACTAAAAAGAGGATAGCATTAATATAAGTAATCCTATCCAAAGTCTACTGTTTACTATTTCAAGAGCCCATTCTTTGACAAGGAACTCCTTTAACCTTGTCTGATGGTCTCCCTCAGGTGGATGGTACATCTTTGTCTGGTCTTTGTCTTTTTAATGATTAATAATTGTTCTCCTTAAATTATATTTGAGATCTTTTGTACCCTAAAACATTATCCAGCCAGGCTCTCCCTATTGCCTACCATGATGAGTCTACCGGCCACACCTGTTTCTCCTCTGTCTACACTAGTGGTTTGCAACCTTCCTAATGTTTCTCCTCTGTCTACACTAGTGGTTTGCAACCTTCCTAATGCCGCCACCCTTTCATACAGTTCCTCGTGTTCTGGTGACTCCCCAACCATAAGATTATTTTCATTGCTACTTCATCACTGTCATTTTACTACTGTTTTGAACTGGGAGACCCCTCACAGGCCGAGTGAGAACTGCTGCTCTACACTATATCAGTATAGAGTTGAGTCATGGCATGTCTCATTTCCAAATGCCTCCATATCATTGTCTCTAAGGCCTGTGCAGTTATTATAATTAATAAGTAATATTTTAAAAAGCAACTAATTTTCTCAATGTATTAATTTAGTTATTTTTATTAACAAACTACATAGCAACACATCTCACAAATGACTGTTTGAGACAATAAAAATCCTTAAGAGGTAGAAGACACCTTTATTAACTGTCCTTTATATAAGTTTACATACAGAAATGAATTACACACCACTGACCCTAGCATTTATTTGCTGAATATAAAAAATAATAGAAAGACTAAAGACTCTGAAGGAGCACTTAAGAAATGGGGAAACACCTGAAGGAAAATACAAGGCCTAAGAAAAGTCAATGCAAATTTCATTTTTTCACTATTATAAAGCGTACAGTCTAAAATGTCTCCTTCCAACCAGATGGTGCCTGACTGTCAGAATAATGCCTGGTGTCTCAAAGACTTATCTTCACACAAACCACCACTTATGTGATCAACTAAGTCCACATGGAAGAAGCAATCAGCCGGTGAGATCCAAGGACTGTAAATGATAAGACCCTAATCTGAAAGAGGAAATGGTATCCTTATATTGTGAACAATGTAATGTTCACATATATAGGCTACCTGTTTGCAGTAGCCTATAGAAAATAGTGGAAGCCCAAAATACATTCAAAGGGTCCCCACATGAATTAAGCCTCTGGTGAATTCCCTCGAGGGATATATAATCTAATTTATGGTGCCTAAACAAATCAACAAATTATGGCTTTATAAGAAAAGAAGGTCAACTAAAATCGAACCTTAAACAAAACCACAATTCTGTCCTAAAACCTGAAAGGATTTGGTTTCAGAATGATTTTAACTATCAATTTCTTGATGTAAATTCCATGTGAGGTTCGTGGAGAAACAGACTCAACGCCTGTACATTATAAAATGGTCACCTTCAATGAAAAGTTGACAGTAATTATGGCTAAGACAATCAGGACAGTACTTAAGAAAAGGTACTGATTTTCCTGTATCATAATATTACTCCTCTTTTGATTTGTTTCGTCCACTTATAATTGTAAACACTAGGTTTGGTTTACACGTCATACAATAACAAATGGTAAAATATTCTTGATAAATACAGATGTAAACATTCTTAACAACACTCACAAACTAATTTAGCAGCATATTAAAAGCATGTTACTTAACAAGACCAAGTGCGACTTATCCCAGGAATTATAGGGTGATCCAACTTCAATACTGATCAATGTAAAATATCATATGAATAGAATGAAGGAAGAAAAAAATACATTATCATCTACTTCAACTGACACAGAAAAGGCATTTGAAAAAACCATTTTAGGATTCCAAACACTCAACAGAAGAGAAATAGAAGGGAAGGGTTTTCATAAATCAAAATGAGGCCAAATGAAGAGCCCACAGCATCAGGGTAGCATCCTCTCATCATATTTATTCAATCTGTATGATGCATGAGTAGTCACAGAAGCTGGCTTCTTTGAAGAAGGATGAGGCATCAAGATTGGAGGAAGGCTTAATAACAACCTGCAATATGTAGATAACACAACCTTGCTTGCTAAAAAAGAGAACTTGAAGCACCTGCTGATGATCAAGGATTATAGTCTTCAGTATGGATTGCAACTCAATGTAATGTAAACAAAATTTCTCACAACAGACCAATAAGTAACATCACAAGTGGAGAAAAGATTGAAGTTGTCAAGGATTTTGTCTAGTTTAGATCCACAATCAATGCTCATGGAGGCAAGAAGTCACGAGATCAAATGACACATTGCATTGGGTAAATTGGCTGCATAAGACTTCTTTGAAGTGTTGGAAAGCAAGGATGTTACCTAAGGACTAAGGTGAGCCTGACTCAAGCCAAGGTATTTTCAGTTGGCTCCTATGCAAAGTTGGACAATGAATCAAGAAAACCAAAGAAAAGTCCAAGCATTTGAATTGTGGTGCTCGTCAAGAATATTAAAAGTTACCACGGACTCCCAGAAGAAAAAACAAATCTGTCCTTCCTGAAAAGTACAGCCAGAGTGCTCCTGAGAAGCAAGGTTGGAGAGATTTTGTCTCAAGTACTGCAAACATGTTATCAGCAGAGACCAGTCCCTGCAGAAGGACATCATGGTTGGTAAAGTAGAAGGGCAGCGAAACAGAGGAGCCCTCAACAAGACAGATTGACACAGTGGCAGCTGCAACAATGGGCTCAAACGTAAGAACAACTGTGAGGCTGGGGCAGGGCTGAGTAGGATTTCCATTCCATGGTGCATATGGCTGCTGTGAGCCAGAACCAACTCTTCGGTCTCCACCCACCACCACTTCATCATTCTCAATCAGCAACAATGGAGGGCCTTTCCTGAAGCTCGGGAACAAAAGGAGTATATGTGTCCAACTACTTTTATTCAACAAAGTACTGGAAATTCTAGCTAGAGATATTAGGCAAGAAAAATAAAATGCATTCAAATTGCAAAGGAAGAAGCAAAAGTAATCCCTTTTCACAGATGACAAAATCTTCTATAGAGAACACTCCAAGGACATGTTCCCAAACATCTTTGGCCTACTGCCCCTTTTAAGGAAAAAAAAATTACTCAGCACCTCAGTGGCAATTAAAACCTTTTATACTATGTCCCATAAACCAGGATAAAGGGTAGGTATCTGTTTTTGCAGCTCCCCTGGATCATTCCAGCACCCCCAACCCCCACAGGGAGGTGCTATCATCACTTTGGAAAACACTAGTCTAAAGAATACACACACACACACACACACACACACACACACACACACACACACAGGAGTCTGGAAAAAAAGTGAAAAACTAATTCAGAAAAGTTGTAAGAAGATAATACTCAGGAACATATATAGGTTTGACAGTGGCCATTCTATATATGTATTTACATATGCTGCAAGTATACTTATGATTATAGTAGAGCATACAGAAAGTAAATATAAAACCTTTTGAGAATAAGTCACTGGGGCTGGGGCTCAAGATTATAGTCTTGGCAGACACCTAGGTCAATCCACCTAAGGTGTAACGGTTTTCTCTCTCTCCAGGCCAAAAAAAAAAGAGTGAAGAAAATCAAAGACCCATAAAATTAATAGTTCAAAAAACGAAAGGCGTATGTGTACCTCAGCCTCCATTACCTCACGACCAGAATTAGATGGGGCCTAGCTACCATTACTAATAGCTCTGAAAGGGATCACATGTAAAATTCCTACACAGACTGGGAGGCGTAGAAGGAGACTAAAAATGAAAAATGACAAGCTTACCGGTCATATGAAAAGGGGTGGAATATTTGAAATTATGGCCCTCAGTCACCCTTTACGCCTGGAATGGACTCATCATGGTGGTTCAATTTTCAGTCAAATAACATCTAATCTGTAAGTTGAACAACAACAAGGAGGTATCTTTCCTTAGAATAAGCAACTACCTGGGATCAAAAAAAGCAGTATTTGAGCAAGGACAAAATTCAGGGGAAAAGGGTTAGGAAAGGAAGGGGAATAGGTGAGGGAAGCAGAGAAGGTGCGATGGGCAATGGTGCCCTGTAGAGAGACTGCATCAGTGCGACGTGAGACAAAATGTGTATGAGCTGTCAATGGATGACTGCTCTGTAAACATCACCCAATTCACAACAGATCGATTTTTAAACAGAGAAATTTGTCAGACACAAAATGGATATACAAAAATCAGTTGTGTATCTGCTTATATACTAGTAACAGAAAATCCTGAGAAGGAAATTAAGAAAATAATTCCATTTACAGTATCATCAATAAGAATAAAATATTATTGATAAATTTAAAGAAGGTGGCACAAAATCTGTACACAGAAAACTACAAAACTTTTTACATGAAGTAAAAGATCTAAATAAGTAGACATGTTCATGGATTTGAAGACTTGATATTGCTAATATGATAATGCTATCCAGAGCAAACTACAGATTTCAAGTGATTCTTATCAAAGCCAAACAGTTTTTGTTTGTTGTCTTGGGAACTTTTCTGAGCAACAGCAAACCGATCTTTAAAATCATCTGAAATTTCAAATGACTCAAACTGATCTTTAAAAACAAAAGTAAGTTGAACCACTCAGATTTCATCTCAAAACTTACTACAAAGTTACACTGATGAGAACACTGTGGCCTGATATAAGGATAGAAATGTTAAACATACAGCTAAGAGTCCACATATAAATCATCACAACTATGACCAGTTTATTTTTGACTAGGGCATCAGGACCTTCAAAATGAAGAGTAGTCTTTTCAACAATGTTTGGGAAACTGCATTTCCATATGTAAAATAATACTGCTGGACTCTTGAACCACTTAAAAATGCACCCAATCCAAACTATAAAATTCTTAGATTGAAACACAAGGCAAATATTCTTGAACTTATATTAATAGTTTCTTAAAACAAGTCACCAAAAGCACAAGTAACAACAATAAAATAATAAATCAGAATTCATCGAAATTAAAATCAGCTGTGTAGTAAATGGCATGACAAAGAAGGAAAATACGCAGATCGGGACAAAATATTTTCAAAGCACACATCTGATAAAGATTTGCAATACAAAATGCAAGAGAACTATTACAATTCAACACCACCACTACCACTTGCACACATGCAAAACACAGTGAATGGACAAGAATGTGAATCGATTACTTCTTGGAAAATCTAATAAGCAAATAGTTAATAAGTACGGAAAATGATGCTCATCAGAGTAAGTCACTAGGAAAGTGCAAATCACAGCTACAATAATACCTCAAATCCACTAGGATGACTGTTAGGGCAAAAAAATAGAGAAAATATTAAATGTTGACAAGGGTGTGGGGAAAATGGATTCCTTGGACATTCCTGTTGGGAATATACAACTGCTCAAAAACTGTTGCAGTTCCTTAAAAGCTAAGCCCAGAACTACCATATAGCTTAGCAATTCCACTCACAGGCATATACCCCGAAGAATTAAAAGTAGAGACCCCCAAAGACACTTGTATATCAATGTTCATGACAGCATGGTTCACAACAAACAAATGGTGGAAACAATCTGAATGACCCACATATGGATAGGAAAGAAATGTGGTACGAAACCCAAAGCAAATGCACTGCCACTGACTGTATTCTGACTGACTAGCAACCTTGGAGGGCAGGGTAGAGCTGCTTCTGTGGGTCTCCAAATCTGTAACTCTTTTCAAGCATAGAAAGCTTTGTCTTTCTCGTGAGGATCAAGTGGTAGTTTCAAACTGCTGATCTTTCAGTTCGCAGCCCACCAGGGCTCCCAAAAGGTGGTAAACATATGATGAACTATTATTCAACCACGAGGCCAGATGCAACTGTGATACATGCTACGACATGGATGAAGTTTGAAAAGAGTGTGCCATCGTGAAAGGAGAAGCGCATTATGACCCCACTCAGATGAAAGATCCACAACAGGCACATTCTGGGAGACAAAAATAGATTCACAGGAAGAGGGAGGAGAAACAAGGAGTTACTGCTTAATTGGTATAGAATTTCTGTGTAAAGCAATGCAAGGGTTTTGGAAATAAAATCTTGTTGCACACTCCCGTAAATGTAATTAATGGACTGAACTGTATAGTTAAATGGTATAGTTAAAAATTATTACAGTGGCCATTTTATTTTATATATGTTTTAGCATAATAATAATAAAGGGTATGGTCCACAAACCGACTAAAAATGTAACGAGTTACTGGATCACACCATCATGCACTCTCTTCCCTTAATAGACACCAGATTCTCTGGCCTCCTTGATCTTCCACATCTACTCCCTAAACATTTTAAGATCTATCTTCGACTTTATATCCTTAACAACTTAGTTCAAAGCGCTATCAGTTCACATTTAGAAAGCTTCCATCTTCATGCCTCCAGTGGTGGCTGTGCCTCCAGTGGAAGACTCACTCACTGCCCTCGAGGCCATGCTGACTCACAGGGACCCCCAAGACTAACTGTTTACAGGAGTAGAAAGGCAACCATGCAGATCTCAGCCCAACGCGGAGCCCCTATACCACAAGGGCTTCTTCTAAGACTGCTATGAGAGTAACCTTTCTAAAATGCAAGTCACCTCTCATAATAAACTTCATCAAGTACAGATACATAAATAAAAGCACAGGTTATTTGAGAAATCAATTTAATATGCTTTACTGAATATTTAATAGCCATGTAAAACATTTATATCATAAGCAAAAGATAAAAATAGACATTCTTTATATGTGCCATTAAAAAATTATAGATATGTCTATAGAAGAGAACACAAAGATAATCTTAATACACTGCAAAATCGTATAGTCTACATTCTGACCATGAAAATCTAGAATGTTTTAATGCCAGAAACACCATCAAACAAACTCAGAAATGTAAGTAAACTTCATTCTAATAGCTCTTTTAACAAAATACTATGTAGCAAATCAAAATGAAGTAATGAGTTATTGAAATGGAGGTTTTTTAATATGACCAGCTACCGACATTAAAAAGAAAGGAAACCAGATATCTCATGGTTCCTAATGAAAGGAGACACCACCACCTACAGTCTTGCCTAAAAGAGTAAGTCTAAATCCAAATAAACTCTGACTCTAATTGCCAATTTGGATAAACTATGGAATAAAATGTGCAAGTATATAAGGGCGATGGTATCAATAAAACCCTGCCTGTAAAGAACTCTGCTACAGTACGCAAACAACCCATGTTCTTCAGTTAATCACTTGTAAAGATGGAGAACCTACATATTGAGAAAGACTTAAAAAAGAAAACTATTTTTTCAAACATCAGCAAAGTTAAATAGGTAGGCAGACACCCTGGTGGCACAATAGCCTGTTCAAACAGGCAAGAAAAGACCCCAAAATCCGTGCCAGTAAAGACCGCACCCTAGAAAACCCTAGGGGATAGGGGTCACGTGGGTTCAGGTAACATGTGTGTCACATGGAGTCAGATAACATATGAGTAGAAATCTACTCAGCAACGCAAGCAACAAACTACTAAGGATGAACACAACATGGATGAAACACAACAGCAAAGAAAAGAAACCCAAGTCAGCGCCTACTCTAAGACTTAGGGTACCAGTTACACTGGGGGGTGGGGGTGGGGGGCACATAAAACCTGTCATGACAGGAAAGATTCTGTTTCTAGATCTTAGTGATAGCTCCAAGCATTTTCCTGTTATAATTCACCAGGATATATATTTGCTGGTGTTTTCTATTTGTATTCTCTCCTTTTACAGACCAGTGGCCATCTGATTATGCCTTATGGTGACACGACTTATGTCAGAGTGCAACGTGTGGTTCTACTCTGTGTCTACTATGGTGACACAGAAGGGTTTCATGAACTCATTTTGGGGGAAGTAGATTGCCAGACTTCTTTATCTTTCAAGATACCGTTGGGTAGACTCAAATCTCCAGCCTTTTGGTTAGCAGCCTAGTTAGTGTACTAACGGTAGGCAATCTGCACTGCCCCAGGCTACCTTTTATATTAAAAAGACTAAAACACAAGTTCATTTAATCAATATCTATCTATATGTAAAAACGGTCCAAATTAACCACCAAAAATATATGTTAGCACTCATATCAAGACAATCATAAGCAAAATAAATTAGCAAAAAATCAAATTTACTGCCATTGAGTCAATTTTGACTCATAGCAAGAAGGAAGCAAGCATGTAACAAAATTTATTCTTTCCTTGTCTGAAAAGAAAAATTCAACAAACTAGATTGAACTCTAGTTGACCAAGGATAAAAGAAAAGACAACAAGTGATGCTTAGAACAAGAAAAGGAATGGAATTTCAGATTTCTAATAAAGTTCTTAAAACACAGGGGTATAACAAAAGAATAGTATGTTGAATTTGCGTAACAACTTTGAACAACTAAATCTTTCCTAAATATTTTTGGAGAGTATTCTTTTTAAAAATTGTACAACTGAACCAATAAGCTATAAAGAACCTAAACATTATAAAACAATAATTTTAGAAGTTATTAAAAATTTAATCAAAGATTTTTGTTATCCACCACACCAGTTACCTAATCTAACATATAGAATGGAAATATTTTAAGAAATCTTTTATAAATGACTATTGATCCTTTTAGTCAACACTGTCAAAGAAAACGTAGCCAACCTTACAGTCAAGTGAACCAGGTGAGATGTACAAAGATGACAAAATTATGATTTATTATGATTATTATTTATTATGAGCCCAAAAAGTCCACTGAAGGTTTTTAAAATCAAAATCATAAAACAAGAACATGACTTTAAAAGAGCTTACTATCTACCAAAAAATCTTCAGAGTTCAGTAACTATTTATTGAATGATATGCTCTCCAGGAGCACCAACAGTAGAGCACTGGATACTATCAGAGAGGTGGATGTTCAAATACCTGCTTCCACA